TGTTGCGATTTGGCCTTAACTTCAGTCCAAAGAGTGGACGAATAGTTACATTTAATATTAGAGCTGTTATCAGCTTTCAAACTAGCAATCTGATCATATGCCAAAGCCAACTCCCTCCGTAGATCCAAAATAGTTTCCTCCTGTTCCCTAACTAACCTGGCCTGGTTACACATCAAACAAAACCATGGCTTAGCTACATCTACATTATTAACAGTGGTGTTGGCACATTCCCAGTGGAACCATCAATTACAGTTGTCACATAATCTACCTTTACAGACTTTTTTCTGGCAGGAGCCACACTTGCCTGATAACTCATTAGACCTATTCTTATCTTCCATATCTTAAAACTTACTCAAGTTACAAAGGCTTAGACTAAAGAGAAATATTAATAACAGTGAACAGATTGGAGAACACTTCACTGCACTTACACTTGGATTCACTTACTGTAATACACAGCACTTCCTATAATTTCACTTCACTTAATATTAATTGATTTATTTTTTAGGTTAGGCCTAAATTACTTTGATTTATCTGTAGCTTAAAGATATGTAATGCAATTAGTACAGTAAATAAAGCATAAAACCTAAAAAAAACAAATATAATTTATAACACAGTTATTACAAAAATATGTTACATTAACTTGCACATCTGCCAAGAACGTATATGAACAGGTCCCAGTCCGAGAAAAGGATGGAAGGATCCTGTTCATATGGACCTGTCGTCAGAAGAAGAAGAAGAAGAAGAAAAGTAACCACAAAAAATTAACTAAGTTAACATATTTTTGATTCATCACCCCGATATGGAGGCAGAAAAGACCTCTGAAACATTGGTAACGTTCTACCAGACTACACGATGCTACAAGGCAGAAGACGGACATCTTCTATGAAGGTGATGGTTTTCTGACAATTATCTTGCTGTGTATAATTTAATAGCCTTATAATAAGATGTTCACTGAGCTTACTGGTAGATTGCTATGTATTATGCATAACTGCAGTAAGAAAATTATCACTTACTCTAGTGATATACATAATATACTCAGACAGACATACAGTGATAAGGTTTTCTCTCCAAACTGTATACAAAAAATAACTTCCAAACATGTTTGTTAGATTTCAGGATCTCACAGTAGCAAGTATGAAGATTGCTGTCTTCTGTGTTTTTGTGCTGTGCAGTCTGGTGTTTATTTCTTTGTACACAATTTGGAGAGAAAACCTTGCAACTGATTGAGGCATCAAGCACCGCTGAAACATTGATAAACTTCCACCAGCCTAAATGGCAGAACAACCCAGACAACAGCTATCCGCAAAAAGAAGTATTTGATTCTTAGCCACCAACTTCCAGCCTCTCTAGATTCCACTATTTATAGAATAGTTTTCCAAATTTGTAATACAAAACCCTTAGTCATGAGTAATGTTCACAATATAATACCATACCATAAGAATTACAGATATGCAAAGAACAAAGAAAAGTTAGAATTTTATACGTTACAATTTAGTGGTAGAAAATTGAAGTGTTGCTGAAAGGAGTGGGCAATGAAGTGGATGACAGGGGTGGTTCCACATATTAATGCTGCTGATTTGGCTAAGTTATGGACTGGAGTTCAAGGAGAATCTTGATTCAGATTTGTTGAGTAAGAAATCTGGGACATTATCCATAGATAGAACAATGTCAAGATTGCTGGATCTACAGCAGAGACAAATTGGATATCAAATAACAAGTCAAACCACTTGAGTCAATGTATTTCATTAACTGTACAAATTGTGTGGTCAGAACAGGAAGACTAGTATACAATTACCAATAAAATACATAGTTTGTTAATAATTCAGTCTGTAGAAATCTTCACAGCCTCCTCCACTACAACTTTTGAGCAGTTATACTTACAAATGAAAAAGTGTCTCAAGGTTTAAAAGAAAATTTAGAACAAGCTATGTGAGTGAGGTGACAATGACTGTTAGCATTTATATAAGGCATTCAAAAATCATGTTCTGTGGAACCCTGGAGGTCTGTAGATTACCAAAAGTAATTTCTTGTTCTGGTATAGAGTACAATTAGAATTTTTCATAATCAATAGCGTTCCAATATTCAAGAAATTTTGGAAACACTGCTTTACAAGTACAGAATT